AATAAAGAAGTTAAGTTAGAAGGTCGTTATTATCATTGGACTTATTATACTTTTCGAACTTTTAAAGAAACTGAAACCAAAATAAAGGCTTATAAATTGGTCTGATGCGTGGCTGACAATGAACCACATATTTTAGGATTAATGGACTGTTTTCGCCAAAGAAAGTATGACAAAAAGAAATAAATTAAAAGCAGACTATAATATATAAACATGTCCCGTCTCGTTAACTAAAATAGTCATCACCGGCAACAAAGGAGGCACCGGTAAAACTACTATCGCCGCTTTATTAGCCGAATATCTGACTTACCAAAAAAAGAAAGTCAACTTAATTGACACTGACCCCCATCAAGCCCTCCAATCCTGAATTGATAATTGTCAGGAGGAAGGTCGTCTGGTCTCATCTCGTTTTCCAGTAGATTATCAAATCATAGATACCGCCGGGGTGAGTGGTGGTTCAGAAACCTATCTCAAACAAGCAGATATCATGCTAGTTCCCTTTATCCCTCATTATGTAGACCTCCAAGTAATTATCCCCTGATATAATTCTTTATCTTGGGAGAGGAAAGAAAAAGTCTTTTTTCTCCCTAACCGCTACCAAAAGACCAAAGAACAGCAAGAAGGCTTAGTTCAATTAAAAGACGAGACGGAACGGGACATGGAAATCGGAGTAATCTTACCTCCTCTTTCCCATCGTCCTGCTCTCTATGGCTCCGTGCTAAATGGCAGTAAAGAAAACTTCTTCACCAAAAAAGAAAGTGAGCCAGCCAAGCAAGTATTCCAAGAATTATTTAAGCATTATGCGAAAAATAAAAACTAATATTTTATCTGAAAGATTAAAAATAAAAAGTCAAGTTAAACCCTCCAAAACTGCCCGCACCGCTAAAATTACTTTTGCCTTAAATGCTAGCCTCTGCCAGCAAGCCGAAAATTGACTAAATTCTCGGTGAACTCAACAGGATTACACCTATTCCTCTTTATCTGAACTAATTAGAAAGAGTTTACAGGCTTATCAAAAAGGGGAAATAGACATTAATCTTGCTGAAAGAGATAAACATGCACCGAAAAGAGAAATTACCATCCGCTTTATTAATACTGATTTGCTGAATTACTATTACTCTTTACCTTACACCCAAAGAACCGCCATCATTGAGGAAAGTTTAGCCACTTATTTAGATAAATTAAATGCGAAAGAGTTAGAAAAGTATGTTAAGATAATCCCTGCCAAGCCCAAGCCTCAACCAAAATTAAAACCTTACTTCCTCAGCAATTTTGAATGTGATAGGTGCGGGGAAGAATATGTCGAGGAAACCGCTTATTCTTATGCGAGGAGTATGAAGGAGATAAATGAGCATTATACTTATTGTGGGGGGTGTGTGGTTGAGGGATAAAAATTGTTTGATTAGTTCTTGTATACATTAAAATACTATATTATGAGAATTCAATCCCAACGAAGACAAAACTTAACTATCATTGTTGAACCTTCAACTTTTCAGCGTTTAAAGAAAGAAATCGGGGATGGAAAGATTAGCCGATTTGTAGAAAAGGCAATTATAAAGGAATTAAATGATTATAGTGGGAGGATTGAGGAAAAACAAAAAGAATTCCAACAAAAACTAATTGCTGGTTATAAAAGGTCAGCCCAAAGCAAAGCCCTCAAAAAAGAAAATAAAATTTGGGAGGAAGTAGTAGGGGGCTTATAAGTTGATAAATGAGTAAAAAAGTAAAAGAGGAAGCAAAAAACCCTAAAATTCCTAAACAGGGCGAAATCTGACTGGCTGATTTTAATCGTAAAAAAGAAAAAGAGCAAAGTAAAATCCGCCCCGTGCTAGTTATAAGTAATAATTGGCAAAATCAGTATAACGATTATTCGGTAGTTGCTCCCTTGACTAGTGAGGAAGAGGAATTGGAACATGTTGAGCCTTTTGAAGTGTTAATTGAAACTAATCAAGAAAATGGTTTAGATGAAAAAAGCAAAATACTTCTCCACCGTTTATTGGCCATCGATAAAGAGGAGCGGTTGATTGAGAGAATAGGGCAGGTGGACAGTAAAATTTGAGTTCAGGCTTGGAAGGCTCTGTGAATAGTGTTTACGGGGAAGGATTTGGGTTAAAAATAACTATGATAAAAATTTATTCCCAACCCTTTTCTTCCTTTATTCCTCCTATTTTTGTCATTTACTCCCAACATTTTTGGAAAAATAACCCTTTTTTTACTCCAATTTTAGAGTTATTCCCGTCTTAATAGAGCATTTAGACAGGAATAAATACGACTTGGGTAGAGATATATTTAGTTTACTTATATAAAAATACAATATATAGAATTGCCTACGACCAAAACGATATAGATAACAAATTAGAATAATTACAAAATCAATTGCTACCTAATTTGTTATAAATGGGATTAAGTTCCTGAGTGGTGATTGTGTAAAATGTAATTTTAACTAATAATATAAAAGTAAATAAATATGCCAAGAATAAATGTACGCTGTGACCAGTGTCAAAAACATGTAGGAGATGAAAAATTAGCCTGATTTAGTGATGCTGAAAAAGACTTAGATTTTTGTTCAGAAGAATGTTACTCACAATGAAAAAAATGAGAAGATATTCATTTGGACTTTACTCTTGGGTTAGTAAGAGAATGAAAATATAAAAAATTTAGTTATGAACAATGTCAAGAATGAATCAAGTTAGGTTTAAATCTAGATGATTATGGTTTTGCTGCTTATTTAAAAAGTAAAGGTTGTGAACCTAGCCTAGATTTAAATTTAGAGGGATTAAGAGAAGAATATTTAAAAAAAGATAATACCCAACAATGACTAGAAAGTCAAGCAGAATATAATACTAAGGAAAAAAGAGAAAAAGTAAGAAATTTATATATTAGGAAGTGCAGTTTGGAAGGTTCTCTTAACTTAACTGATTTCATTAACTTAACTGAACTTAATTGTAGTTATAATAATCTTACTGAATTAAACTTAACTGGTTTGAACCAATTAGAGAAAATTGAATGTAATGATAATTACTTAACTAATTTTGATTATTCGGTTCTAAATCCTGATAAATTAACTTTTTTGAATATCACTGATAATAATCTTCCCCAACAAGACTTAGCAGTTTTTAGTAAGTTTGTCAACTTGGAACTTTTATGAGTTGGTAATGATGATAAAGAAAGAATTAAACAAGGCATTTACAATCGTTTTATTGGCAGTTTAGAACCTTTAAAAAATTTAACTAAGTTACAAAGACTCAATATTTCTAACACTGATATAAATAGTGGCTATGAACATTTACCAGCCAGTGTCAAATATATTTATTCTTCTAGTGAAAAAAGACCCACAAGTAAAGTTAGAAAAATTGCTGAACCATTAAAATGAATATTAAGCAAACAGATTAGTAGTCAACAACTAAAATCCTGAATAGATTTTGGTTTGCAACCTAACGATTATGGTTTTGCTTGTTATCTGACTAAACAAGGTTTTCAGCCCAAATCAGATTTTAATTTAAAGGGATTAAAAAAAGAGTATTATAAAAAGAGCCAAAAGAGCCAAGCATGATTAGGTCAGAATTATCCGAAAAAAGAAAGAAGTAAAGTAGAAAAAATCTATCTCACTGAACCCAGTTTAGAGGGGGAATTGGATTTAGGGGATTTTACTTATGAATTTTTCAGTAGTGGTGTAAAAGTATACATCTCCCCCCAATTGGATGAAACCAAACTAATTTTTAAAAATAAACCAAAAGGGGCTGAGATTATTTTTTTAGATGCTCAAAGATACATTAATTATCTCTGTCCTACTAAAGAACAAAGAGAAAAAGTAACTGTATTAAATATTAGTCAAAAAAACCTCGAAGGCCACCTTGATCTCTCGGATTTTATTAATTTAAAAGTATTAAATTGTTATGATAATAAACTAACTAATCTCACTTTACCTAATAATCCTACTAATTTGAAAGTATTAAATTTAAGAGGTAATAACTTCTCCAGCGACTTATCTTTTTTAACTGGGGCAGTTAATTTAGAAGAACTTAATTTAAGTAATAACAAATTCACTGGCTCTCTAGAACCTTTAAAGGACTTTTTAAAGGACTTAATAAAATTAGAGGAACTGCACATCAGTGATAACCAATTAACTGGTTCCTTAGATTATTTAAGTAACCTGAAGCAATTAAAAAAACTTGATATTAGCAATACGGATCTAAATGAAGTAAATATTGATAAATTACCTCGGAGTTTAAAGAAAATTAAATATTATGCTGAAAGTTGGGAAAGACAAAGACCAGATTGTAAATTAATTACTATTGTTCCCCAATTAGAAAAACACTTTGGTAAATTTGGTCGTTGTCTAAAATGCCTACGACTTAATACTAGTGAAATGTGATGCCAACCTTGTGCAGAAAAAGAATGACAAGCAGATATAAAACACTTAACTGGACAAGAATTAGTCGAAAAGTTTATTGAGAGACAACCTAAAGGGTATGGAGAAAAATTACAATGAATTCCTTATAAAGAATTGGAAATAGAAAAAGATGAACAAGGTCAGCCTAAACTTTTAGCCCAAGGAGGTTTTAGCAAGATTTATAAGGCTAAATGACGAGGGAAAATGAGTGAAAAGTGAAATGAAGAAAAAGGGGGTTCTGAATGCTTAAATTACACCGAAGTTATTCTCAAATCCCTCACTAATTCCCAAAATATCACCTTAGAATTTTTAACTGAAATTGCTAATACTAAATTGGTTGAGGGTTGATTAACTAAAAATAATATTGTAAAATGCCACGGCATTTCCCAAGATCCTGATAAAAATTATCTCATGGTTATGGATTATATGAAAGGTGGTAATTTAAGACAATATTTACAAAATAACAATAAGGGATTAAGTTTGGAAGATAAAATTTGGAGGTTATCAATGATTACTAATGGATTAAAAAAAATTCACGACCAAAACCTAGTCCATCGGGATTTTCATAGTGGGAATATAGTAGGAGATAGTATCACCGACCTCGGTTTATGTCAACCAGTTAATTATCAAAAACAAGTCGGGCAAATCTTTGGCGTGATGCCTTATATTGCTCCCGAAGTCTTACAAGGTCAGCCTTACACTCAAAAATCAGATATTTACTCTTTTGGTATCATTGCTTATGAATTACTGGCTCAGGCTTATCCTTATGCAGATAAAAACTTGACTGATACTGGTTTAGCCCTAGCAGTATGTAATGGACTAAGACCTAATCTAGATAAAGTTCTCATCCCTCAATTATTAAAAGATTTAATTAAAAGATGTTGAGAGGCTGATCCTCAAAAAAGACCAAGTACCGAGGAGCTGTGGAGGATTATTAATGGTTGGACAGGCTGGGCAAACTATAATAGAGTAGTTAAAAAAAGCACCCTTTTCTACCACCAATACCAATCCCTATCTAAAGAATACAACACTTTCTCCCAAAATACTCCTTATCAAATCCATCCGACTGCCATTACTACTAGCAGAATGATAGATACTAAACAAATTGTGCAATTACTCCAAGATCCTACTAAACAACAAGAGGCTTTAGAACTAGAACTAAAAAAACTAAAACAAGAAATAGGCAAATCATTTACTGAAGAACAAAGAGAATTAGTAAAAGAATTTATCAAAGCCAGTCAAAAAGCAACTAAAAATCAAGAAGATGAAGCGGTAAGAGATGAGGTTGAAGAATCCGAAGAAAATTTGAAAAAAAAACTTAAAGAAACAAATTTTTCCCGAGAGAATATAAAAAAAATCATTCATCATTGCGAAAAATTAGTTGAATTAGAAAAACAATTACAAGCCCAAGTTGAAATTAATACTAACAAATAAATATAAATGCTATGGTAAAAAATCAAATTGAATTTAACGAAAAATACGACAATAAAGAAATAGACGAAATAGAAATTAAGCGCAAAAACTTTCAAGGCTCACTAATTATTGAAAATTATTCTAAATTAGAAGAAATATATTTATATAATGTTTTAAGCATAGATGAAATAACTCTTAAAAATTTGCCTCAACTCGAAAAATGCACTATCCGAGGTTGTGGGGTTAAAAAATTAGCAATTGAAAATTGTTCCCAAATCAAGGAATTAAATGTTGAAAGCAACTTTTTAACCAGTTTGGAATTTGTAAAAAACCTACCAAACTTGCAAAGACTTGAAGTGGATGGTAATTCTGAACTTGCCTCAGGCTTAGAGTATTTGCCAAAGGGAATAAAATTTTCTTGTGATAATACTAAACTTCCTTCTTTGCAACAAAAATATGAAAACTTAAAGGGGGTCATGACTTCAGTTGCTAAGGAAGCGAAGAAAGAAATATTGAAAGGGATAGAAGCTAAAGAAGAAATTTCTGAACAAAAAGTATTAAAGACTGATGAAATAATCGTAGATCTAACAAAAGGCATAGAAGGTTTAAAGGAAGTAAAAGAGGAATTAAAAACTAATCTAGAGGAGGCAGAAAAAAAAGTCCAAAAGTTAGAAAAAGAATTAATTGAAGCCAAAGCCCGGGCTGAACAGAGACAGAAAAAAGTTGCTGAATTAGACCAAGAGCATTCTTTAGAGACCGAACAAACTCCGATCAATGAAAAAACAATCAACTTTTTAAGAGCCAAATCAATTTTCCTTAATGCTCGTCAAGAAACCATTGGAGAATTAAAAAAATGTTTTATTGCCTTGGAAAATAAATATGGCAGAAATGAAGTAATTGGTGAAGTAGGTAAAACAATAGTCGGAGTAGGAGATTTACTTCCTAGCACTATAACTTTTGGAGTTCCTAAAATTATTGGAGAAACAATTCAAATTGGAAATAATTTCTCAAAAATAATGTTAACCAAAGAAGGAAATGAAAGGTTTCAACTTTCTCTTAAAGATGAACAAGAACTAATTCAACTTCATAAAGACTATGATTTACTGATTGAGTTCATTAACAATAATGAAGAATCAGAAGAAAACGAATCAGATAATATTTTAAATTTGAAAAGCAGAACTAGGGATGGAAAGGCTTGAGCCTTTAATGCCGACTATGAGATTTTTAGTATTTTGAAATCTAAGAAAGTTTGAAAGAATAGAAACCTGACTCTCGAAAGAATGGAAGAAACTATAAATATTCTCAGTGAAAATCATGAACAATTAGAGTCAGAATGAGAAGAACAATTTGAGAAGTTTAAAACTAGACTTGGTAAAAAAAGAGCAAACCTTTTCTATCAAGAACAACAAATTAGAGCCAAAATTCATAAATTAGAAAATCAGTTAGAAGGATTAATTGACTCAGCCAACGATAAATTAAAAAGCAAAAAGTGATCTACTGGAAAAAGGGAAAAAAGAAATAAAGAGCGAGAAACAAAACTCCATGATCTTTTGAATACTAAAGCAGAAATTATTCGTTCCGGTGATACAAATGATAGACAGAGAAAAATTACTTCTCTGCAAAACGAGTTATCAGAGATTGCTAATGATCATGGACATAAAGAATTTGAAGAGGAACTAACTAATCTTTGTCAAGTTCAAATTGAACTAACCAAGTCGCAAGTAGAGTTGGAAAATTCTCGAAAACAGCAATCTCAAATCCAAATCCCACCTAAAGGCAATCATTAAAAATTAAACCAAATCCCTTAAAATCACCCCTAACCCTTCACCAATACTCTCCACCCTTATACTTTCAATTTCATCATCCTTTCTTCTCCTATACCATACCTTATAATAAATTTCGCTCCCCTCTTTTGCTCCCCCATATTGAACTAAAATAATTACTTTAACTTTTTTCGGCATTTCTTCAATCATCTCCTCCCCTGGTTCGGCAATTCTTACCAACTTCCTTACTAATTTATCTTTTTCTAAAAACTCTCCAGTCACTTCTAAACAAACTACTATCTCCCCCACTCAAAACAGAAAATCCGGAAAAAGTTTGGGTTAACCCTACTTCATCAATTAATTCAATGCCATACCCATAATGAGTAGGATTACGACACCAGTCATCTATTTCAACTAAATTATCTAACTCAGTGGCGGTTCTTCGCTCCAAATTATTCAAGCCACTATATTTTTTGGTGAATTGCGTTTTTAAATTCAACGCATTTAAGCGGATTTTTCTCGATTTTAATCCCTTTCACCTCATAAGGCTTTTCTAAACTAATCCTTAATAAACTTTCATTTTTATAAGTATTAATTAACTTTTCCCCGACTTCTCTTAATTCTTTTTCTGCTTCTGAACCTCAGCCAATTTCAACTTTTTTTTGACTTCTTTCATAAACTCTTGGTCTAATACTCCAATATAATCTCCCAGACGATCTTCTTTTTCAATGGCTCGTAAGCGGTTAAATAAAATCTTGCTATCCTCATCCAAGCCGTTTTCTTCATTTTTCTTAATAAGGATTTCATAAGGTTCTATTCTTTCTAATTTCTTACTACTCAACGGAGCCACAATTATTTCTATGTCAAACTCATTCTGCGGATTATTGCTAACTATCAGCGAGGGTCTAATTTTCTTAATCTTGCTTGCTATTTCTAACTCTTTCTCTTTACCCTTTTTCGGCTTATAGTTGTAATCTATTAACCAAATTTCCCCTCGATAGGGAATACTTTTTCTTTCAGAACTTTGTATTTCGCCCCTTTTCGGGATTTTATTAATGGCTTTACTCATCTTCTATTCCGTCTTCTATACTTCCCTCTCAAATTTTATCTTCTTTTCGCATTTCTTTACTTTGGGCTGTTCTTTGATAAGCCTCTTTTAATTTTTGGTCGTTGCTTGGTTCCATATTAATTATTTTAGGCACTACATCTATTACAGTAAACTATAAAATTAATATATATGGAAAGAAGACAAGTCGTTAGTATCAGAATAAACCCCCAAGTTTATCAGCAATTAAAGAGTGAAGTTGGAGAGGGAAAAGTTGGTCGTTTTATCGAAAGATTGATTATTAAAGAATTAAGTGGTCAAGAGGAAAAATTAGCCCAAGAATACCAAGCAGCCGCCCAGGATAAAAATCGTTGAAAAGAAGCCCAAGAATGAGACCAAGCTCAAATAACGGACTGAAATAACCAAGATGACGGAGAGAATGATTAAACGCGGTGATATTTACAAGGTGGCTCTTGACCTAACAGTAGGGAGAGAAATTAAAAAAACTCGTCGCTGTGTGGTTATCTCCAATAATCAACAAAACCAGTATAGTCCTTTGTTAATAGTTATCCCCACTACTTCGGATATGGATAAACTTTATTCTTGGGAGGTAGTTTTTTTTTCAGAAGGCAAAGACCGAAAGATTTTGACCGACCAAATAAGAAGTGTAGATAGAAAGAGACTGAGAGGGGGTTATAGAGGTCAAATTAGTTATGAAACACTGACTAAAATTGAAAAGGCTTTGAGTATAGTTTTGGCTTTAAGGAGGGAACTCCAAGGATTATACGACTTAACTCAAATTCCTACTAAGACTTTAAGGGAGGAGTTGGATAGGAGAGAAAAGGAAAAAGGGGCTTAAACATACCCCCCAATATCTTACTCATATCCTCGTTTAAGATACTTCCTCCAAGTCTTTTTCTTACCACTACTTAACCTATTATAAAACTCCTTCCCAATACATTTAAGGCACAATATTTATAACTGCTGCTTACTCCTCAAAAGTTAGGGTTGTTTCTGTTTTTAATACTCTTTTTTGCTAACCATTCCTCCATCTTTATAAATTAGCAACAAGGCATTTTTTACACACTCCACTCTCACTATCTACTTTTTTATATTCGCCACAATTATTACACTCTCCTTTTATTCATTCCACCGCCATTTCTTTCTTTTGTTCGGCTTCGAATTCCTTAATAATTTTCTCCCTTTCAGTTTCTAACTCCTTTTTGATTAACTTTTGCTCTTCACACCAACCACATTCACAATTTATTTTCCCTCGTTCCTCGTGATATTTTGCTCTTTCTATATCTTTTAAGTAGGCTTGGCTTTGTCTTTCCAATCTTTCTCATTCCTCAATATACCCGTTTTCTATTCTCGCCTTTTCATAACCTCAATATTTAATTAATCGTTGTTGTTCATCATAGTCCAAAAGATTTCAACTTTTACTCTTTTTCCTTTCCTCAGACTTGGCAGTATCTCAATAATCTCTTATAAGATTATCGGCTTCTTGGGCTAACTTCATAATGGCTACTATATCACCTAATCCCTCTTTAATCGCTGCTTGACAGTCTTGTAGAGTTCAGTTAAAATCTAATCATAACTTCTTTTTTTCTTTACTTAATTCCGTGTATTCTTTAAAAGTCATTAAGATTTTGAAGGCTTCGGCTCCATAATATTTGGCTGATTGTTGTTTAGTAGTTAATTGCTGCTGTTCTTTTTGTTGCTGGTATCTTTCTCTCCTTTGTTGTTTTTTAAGTTCTCTATTCTTTTGATAATTCTCTTGGTAGATTTGTTGACGGGATTTTGGGAGTGGTTGATACTCTAAAAGAGTATTATTGGGATTATTTAAGGGTTTTTTTGCCTCAATAGGCACTAAATTATTTTGTTTTGGCATATTATTTTGTAATGTTATTTCTTGCTTTTTTTGTTTTTGTAAATCAATATTGTCAATAATCCTCCCATTGCTAATAAAATCCCTCCACCTACAACCCAACTAGTAGGAAATTTATCATTAGAATTGTTTGGTTGTGAACTCGACTGAAAACCAGCATCATAATAAGAACTTAATTTCTCTAATTTTTGTTGATTTTTCTGTAATCTTTCTTGTTTTTCTGAATTAGTTAGATTTTGGTTGTTTTTTAATTTTTCATTTTCGGCTTTTAAGCGGTTAATTTCTGAAATTAATTGTTCGCGAGTTCAAGTTTGGTAATCAGCATTGTCATCATTTTTATTTTGATTTTTCTCTTGACTATCTAAACCAAGTTGTTTACTAAATCAAGGGTCATTTTTCATTTCCTCGATGGATAGTTCTTTAAACTCTACACTCGAACTTCTTCATTTATCAGTTTTGTTAAATTCTTCCTCACTTATGTTTTCTAATCTTTTTAACTCTTGCTCTATCAGTTTAGGAGTTGTTTCTGGATCTCACTGTCGGAGACCGTTCCCAAAATCGGTTCCGCAATAGTTATTTTTGTCTTTACAAGTATGTTTTTCCACAAACTCTATAAACGCCCGCAGTCTATCCGTATAAAAATTAACTTCCTTTTCAGTTTGAAAAATGTTTATTCTTTCTCGTCAATTTTTAAAGTAGTCAGAGGAGGACAAGTAGTCCTCCCAATGAGCATGAAAAATTTCTTTTCTACTCACATATTTGCCTTGACTTTCAAGGAAAGAAATTGAACCGCTTTTGGAATTTTTAAGACCAATTACTCCACTTTCCTCCTGTCATTCTCTACTCCATTTATTCATATTGTTAATTGTTAAAAGTCGGCTCAACCAATTCTCCTATAACTAGTTTCATTACCTCTTATATAACTTTTTGCTTCCTCTATTCCAACACGTTCACACTTCTCCTCAAGTCGTCTCAACTCATAAAGATCAAGTATCAACAACTTTATCTCTGGACTACCCCAAAATGAGGCTTCAAAAGTATCATAAGCCGGTCTTCTATCTTCTACATATACTCAGCCAAGACAATTCCAAACTACATATTTAGAACCATGCTCATAAGAACCATTTTTATCTGCTTCAAAACTTCTCGGATTTACTCCACCAACACTAGGTCAATACGGAAGAAGTTTGTAATATTCATCTCATATGTATTTAGATAAGTCTTCCCTTGCCTCCCTTAATTTTTCGTAATGTTCATTTATTGCCGGTGATTTTTGACAAATTTTTGACACATATTCTCGGATTTTTACATGATACTCCGCTCACGCAGCAGGTCCAGTTTTACTATAATTATCTGAGTGAGAACAAGGAACTGAAAAGGCTCTTTTTCCTGAAAAAGCACTAAAAGCATTTTTTCACTAAGAAATCCCAATGTGGCTTCTGGCATCTCATCAAGAAGCCTTGCAACATTAGGAAAATCGCTTCTTATCCTACTCATTATTGAATGAGAGCCAGCAATCATCAGTGCTTGTCTATCAACAGGCATCGGTCCATAACCTTCTTTACCTCTTTCACTTACATAATTACTGCCACTTTTGTTGACTACCTTGCTTCTAGCAGCAGGAGATAAATTGTTAATTGAACTTTTTTGATATTCTTTTCATCAAGAACTTTCTTCTAATTCTCTTACTTCTTCAACTAATTTTTGTTTTTCTATGGGTATTAAATTATTATTTTTTGGCATAGTATTTTTATATTTTATTTTGTTTACATTTAATTTATTGATTTTTATTATATAAAATTGTTATTTTTGCTAACTTTTACAGAATTAGCCAACTGTTTTTAATACTCTGATAATCTGGTAAGCAATAACTTACTAGGAATTAGGAGAATATTCTTTACCCTCTTTTAGACTTCTAGGAAAGTCGCTGGTCTAGGCTCTTGCTTTTTTTAGTAAAAGTCTTGGCTAGTGCGAAAGGGAGAAGTGTGATTTTTCAATCACTAACTTATTTTTTTTGTTCTTTATTTTACCTCTACTCTTTGTGCCTTAATGGCACTGGAATACTTGATATTTTAGATATAGTTTTTTTGTCATGGCTATACTTCATAAATGTCTTTAATTTATTTTATTATAAAAAATTAGAGTAGTCATCACCTCATTTTTTAAAAAATAATCCCTAATATCCACAATTATTTTTTTAAGCAAAAGCCAGTTATCCAGCCAGCAAAATCCTAAAATCTAGGACTATTATTTTTTTACTTTTTTTCGTTTTTTTTGATAATATTCTTTTTGTTTTTTAGTAAGTTTTTTACCTCCTCTTTTTTGTCAGGAGTAGTGAGTAGGAGCAAAGTTCCTAACATGTTTTTGGCATTTTTCCTCTAATTCAGTTTTTTGGGGTTTCTTTCTTACTAATCCTGCTAATAATTTCAGGGGGGATTTTAAGGCTTTTAAAGTAGCAATAAATATTCCCATTCTATTTAAGTTTTACCTCTTTTTTTTATTCGCCTTAACTCACGAATATGAAAATAAGCTAGTAGTCCAAAAATCAAACTATCAAACAACAAAAGCAGGAAAAAATAAGGAAATCAAGGAGGAGGAATTGGTATTTTGAATAAAATCAGAACTAACGGAGGAAAAATAACCATTAAAAAGAAAATTAAGCACTCAATAATAATTTGTTTTCGTAATTTTTTTAAGTTATCCATTTGTTAAACAAAAATTTCTCCTTCTTGGGAAGTATAAAGGCTAATTACTTTGCGATAGGTTTTGAAATTAGTCTCTTTCTCTTCAAACTCTATCTCTACTTCTTTAATATTCTCCCAATTAGTTATTAAGTCAGTTCAACCACTTTTGACCGCTTTTTCAAAGCAAAAATAGGCTTCATCTTGGTTATCATTGTTAACGATTAAGTAATAAGTGTTAAAATTCTTGTCTTCTAATTTTTTGATAGTGATATTGGTTAAATTAAGGGTTGGCATATATAGATTTTTATTTGTTAAAAAATGAGGCAAGGTTGAACCAACTTTTAGATTGAAATTCTTCCTAAAAAATAAAAAAAATATTACTAAAATAAGCAAAAAAAGAATAAAAAATAACTTATATGACTAAAAAACAACTAAAAGCCATGTCAGGTAGTCGCGGAATAGCCCCAGCCGAAAACCGAGAAGTCATCCAAGAATTAAGAGAAATCAAAAGCGATATTAAAGAGGTCAAGAAATTCCTTATAATTAACAGTCTCCGTCAACTAGTAGCCAATTACGACCAACAAACCGAAAAAAAGAATAAAAAATTAGCCGAAGACTGAGAATTAGCCGAAAAAGACAAAGCCAGAAATAAAGAAATTGCTGAATGGGATAGAATACAAGCCGAGGATGAGAAAAATTTGAATAATTAATGGTTGGTATTAAAATTAGACCTCATTCTGAGAAAAAAATAGCAGCCAAACGCGGTGAAGTTTACTTAATTCGTTTTGACCCACTAATAAAAGGTAAATTCAAAAAAATTGTCAAGAACACGGAAATTAAAGACCCGCATCCGGCAGTGGTAATCTCTAACGACATCCAAAACCAAAAAAGCAGTCGAATTACCGTGGTTCCTTTAACCCATACTCTTAAACCTTTTTATGAAGGCTGGGAAGTTTATTCCAATTTCAACAATGAGAAGGGAAAAATCATGTGTGACCAAGTGAAAAATATTGATAAGCAAAGAATAATAAAACATTTGGGAACATTAGACCCTAAAACTCTGAGAGAAGTAGAAAGGAAAATATTAGATGGCCTGGAATTAATTAACTCCCTTGCTAACGAACAACTAATCATGGAACTGGTTCGGAGAATAAAGGACAAAGAAATTGACTGAGAAAGCATTTTGGCTGGGATTGGCGAAATGTAGCAGTTAAAAATCTAAAATCAACAATATATATGACTAACCAAGCCCAAGAACATATTAACCAACTTACCAATCAAAAAAGAATTAGATATTTAGACATTAGCAACCGAGATTTAGCAGGTGAGGCTAATTTAAAAGAATTTACCGCTCTAACTAGCCTAAATTCTTATAATAACAAATTTGAAAACTTGGACTTCTTAAATACTTTACCCAATAAAGATAAATTACAAAGAATTAATTTTTTTGGTAATCAGATAAAAGAGATAGATTTAGCCTGGTTATTAAACACCTTTCCTAAATTGGAATATTTGAATTGTGAAAATAATCCGTTAAGTGCGAAAAATTTGGATAATTTAACTAGCAAGCAGTTTGGGAAGTTGGTTCAGGGAATAAAAGATAAAAAAATAAGGATTAATTCTTTTAAAGGAACCATTTTGATGGATTTGCTGGAATACGCTCAAAAATTAGTTAATAAAGGCAATAATAACCAGCAGCAAAATGCTCAATATTTACAAACACTTATCCAGCAAGGGAGTTCACCAGTGAAGTCAGATAATAAACAACCTGGTAATAATACTCTGCTTTTAGTTGGTTTGATTGTTTTTAGCATTTTAGCCGTAGCAATTGGTTATTGGTGAGGTAAAAAGAGAAACCACTCTGACAAAGAAAGTTAAAATTATAATATAATAAAAGGTTGTTTATTTCTCCTGACTAACCAGTCGGTTTAGAGTTAGTGGAATTTCCTAGTTCCGAGCTGGTTGGTTGGGAAAAGTAAACAACCATGGAAATTCCACAAATTACCCTAGGCAAAAGTATTCTTTATACTAAACCTCGGCAAGAAAATAAAAAAAACATTAACAATTTAGAAAGAGCGAGGGATTTTTTTGTTTTTTTAAGCAAAAAGGAGGGGAAATTTTTCACTTTTTTACTGGCTTATCTCAATTATTTAAGAAAGAAAGAGGGAATTATTTTCGTTTTTTTATAAGAAGGTTAGTTTT